AAATTATACCTACAGAAAATGTTCTTGGTTTAATCATGGCTGAGGGATGTTAGCTGAGCTGTTCCAGTACCAGCTCTGTTTGCAGTGTAAGGTCTGAGTTCTTACAAGTTAGGCCACGCCGGTGTCGTACAGGGCTCTGTATGAGCAGCTCTTAGGCAGTCTTTAGCGTAACGCCACCACGTTTTAGTGCAGGTAGTTCCAGTTCATGAGTTTGGGTAGCTATTGAGATTTGCATTGATATATTCGAGAGAATAATCTGTCACCCCACTCACATGCCGAATGGATATTTGTTACGAAGGTGAGAAGCAGGTGTTGCTTAAGCCACCACAGCAGGACATTTGGGACAGTGGCAGGGGAAGAATGAAACTGCACCAGAATTCACAGAAAGTGATATGAACAGCTTTGAGCATTGCATCCTGACCACCAGCAGCATGCCTGGCTCGAGAGGAAATTCCTCTCTGTAGTAAAGATACGTAAGTAAAGATTAAATGAGACCTTCACTAAGATGTTGTTAATTAGTAAAAGTGGGATGCCACTCTGTATGCCTTCAATAGAGAGATAGGATCTAAGATGTGGAAATCACTTAGGTAACGTAACACTGTTGAAATACGTCATCTTCTTGGAGACTAAAGTACTTGAATTGTGGACAAACTGAGAAATAAATGTGTGAAGATCTGATTTCTTCTGTGTGGTGGGACCCCTCTCCCTTTTGAAGGCAAGCAGGCATGTTCCCTTGTTCTGAAGACCACATGGGCTGCATTACCTGTCCAGCCATGGCATTTTACGCAGCACTCTACAAGGACAATGTGATACCCCATGTGAACGAAGGCTTTCACTGTCTGGACATGTCTATCAGATCCAGATTGTCTGGTTGTTGTACGGGCACAACAGGCTGTGTTGGGGAACATTCTGCACCTGAGCTCTTGCCTTGTCTGGCTATGCGATGTGTAAACACAGTTACAAGTAATCAAGTAGCTAATTAAATCCTTACATGTAAAGTTAAACATGTTCTAATATTGAGACCAGGCAGCTATTTCAAGATCACAACAGCTTTAAATAGATGGTAAGACTGTAGTAGTAAGACTGGAGTAGACTGCGAGCGTACGTCTTAGCTCTCTAGTTCTGCCACTGTAGGAATGATAGACCTTTCATTATTATTGCTAACTAACGGGGGGAGTGAATAGCAGCTAACCAAGTATTGGTGTCAGCTTTGTTGAACACCTAGAAAGGAGTGGAATTAACTAAGCTTCTACAAGACAGTAGTCTAGCAACAATTAGCATGAACCTTGTTAAACATTTTAAGAACATTAATGAGCTCACCTAGAGACCTGAATTGTCATTTCATACCTGCTTCTTTTCCAGTGGGATCATTTTTAATAGAAATAAAATGTGATGATAATAACCTCAAACTGTCTTTTTAAGGGTAGAATATTGGATTTTATGACTTCTGAGGAAATATATTGGCAATACTCTTTGGCTTTTGATTGCTAGTGAGAACACCAACACAATCTAACTTAGATAAGTATGAACTTGAATTCCAGGTTCCTGTGGGCTTTGTGGGATTGAATGCTCACTTTTGTTCTCCCAGCCCTCCTCTTCCATTTCCCTTTCAGGACTGTTGAGATGATCCCGTTTGTAGGATTTTTCCAAAGACTAAATGAAAAAGGAATTTGAACAATGAGTCCAACTTTTAATTAAAGCCAGTTACTTAAAGTACCCAAAAATATTTTGTGACTTAATTTCCGTTTACTTTGAGTATAGACTTTTAAAAAAGAAATCACAATATCGTTATAAAAACAGCTCTTGCGGCCAACACTGACTATCTGGGGAGCTGTCTTGCCAAGCTTGAGAGCTTCACTAGACCGTGTATGTTTGCATAATCAAAGTATTAACAAGATGGTATCCCATGCTGGAGCCATTTCCATGTAGTCTGCGGCTGCCACTGCTGTTTGTTCCCAGAAATTGTTGTCTTTTTTTAATGTGTAAACTAGCTAATTTATTTTTACATTGCTTCTGTTGTGTTTTAGGGGATTAGTCTTAACAAAACTCCCCTCCACATTTTTCAGTTTAGGGCTTCTGGAAGGCGTAGACTTGCCAAATACACAACTGACTGGCAAAAAATGAACTGTGTGTGGTCAGTTTCAAATGAAATATAAATGGTACAATGTTATAGTTAAAATATTTTAAAACTTCTGGTTACTCTTGAGCGTTCCCCCCCCCCTTTATTCTTGAGCAAATTAAACCTGATACATTTAACCCATGTTTCATGGGGAAAATGGGGCTCAGAGTCTAAGGAAAGTAAATTGGAAGTTTGAGCAGGGAAGGAGCAATAGATACAAACCCTTGGCTCTTCTGTAAGTGTGCTGGAAGTTGGGGGAAGCTTTTTGAAAGGTCAGTGCTGAATAGCAAACGGCTGACATGCTCAAATGTTTATCTTGCAGCTCGCTCTGCTTCTTATATATGACCTGTAAGAAGTGTTCTTGCACTTCTGAGGTTTTTGTTTGTTTGTTATATAAAGTAGGTCTGTCTAAAAGAAGAATTTCTTTTTTTTCTTTTTTCTTTTTTCTTTTTTTTTTTTTTTTAAATCTTGCAAAACACAACAGTGCAGACTCCTATACTGCTGAGCTGTTCTTTGAGGACTCCTGCAAACTCAAGAGCCCTACGATTCTCAGGAATCCATTGCTTGCTCAGTCATCTCTTGTGTTTTCAGGATAAGCAAGATTTGAATTGCTGTTCCTCCTAATACAGGGACTGCAGTACCACCATGCTTTTTAGAACAGCTGCTCTTATTTTATTCACAGAAAAGCGAAACCCTGCTATTTTCCTCCTCCCCTCTATACACATTTTCTTATCCTTAAAGAAATGTAAGTACCTTTCTGAGCTGCAATCTAGCCAACAGCTCTGAAGGCTACACCTTCCAAAGCATTATTTATTGTGTGCACTGTAAAGCAATACAGGAGAGCGACAGCAGTGAAACTTCTGCAGTAGGTTTTAGGTTGCTGTAGGCTGAATAAATTCATTGCTTTGTATCTCTGAAGCTAGTATTTTCCAAAGCTGTTAAACTAACAAGCCAGTCCTACAAGATGCAACTTGTCCTTCGGAAGGAACGTGTTGGAAGATGTCTACAGAGCCCTCCTCTCATTAATAGCCATCCGGGCCAGCTCGCAGTAGCTTCAACACACTGCGTTAGCGTTGTTTGTGCATGATTCAGCTCTCCATTGCAAATTAAAAAGGGGCAATTATCTTAAATCTGGTCCATTCCAAAGGAAACTGCAGGGACTTATTTTCTGTTTGGGATCTTCATATATTAGCTGAAAGCAAAATGACAGCTTGCACCTCTGACCCTTCTTGGATCTGTCATCTGCACTTTGTCCAGTAACTGCAGCGTTGGAGCCAAGCCATCTTCCCGGTGCCTGTCTTGGTGCAAGGTGCTGCAGTCATCCAACCTTTGGATCAAGCCCTAGATTTCCAGTCCTTTGACACGACTAACCCACTGTAGTAGACCTCACCTCAAGCAAGGGCTTAACTGATCTCCTGAGTGCAAAGGGCCACTTGATTAGAAGAAAAAATTCTTGAGAAGCTCTACTAAACAATGTCAGCCTGTGCTGCTGCCTTTGTAATCCAGTGTCTGTCTGTCTTCCTCCACTGGAAGTCCCTGAGAAAACTACATCTCCCAGCAATTTCATCTGCAAAGCCTTTGTCAGCTCTTCTTCCCATGAGAGGTTTCAGGCAAAGCTCCGGACAAGCCCTGACACCTTTTCTTCCTAGGAGAGCCTCTCCAGCACAAGGTCTCTTGCCTGCCAGCCCTGCTGCTCGGCTGCTGTGCTCTGGCCTGGAACCTGCGCGTCTGACATTGCTTTCCAAGTGTTTTTCAGGTTGTCCTTACAAGATCTATTGTGGTGTTTTCCTGTTTACTTCTGCAGCCCTCTGTTGTATTTAAGCAGCGTAGTTAAGTCAGGAAATTCTACACCTAATACGCAGCAATTTCCCTTCGCTGACCCAGTTGCCTGTAGCGCTTTGTGAAATAGCTGCACTTCAGCACCCGGCACGTTGCATCTGCGCTGCCTGTCGCAATCACACAGCATAACGTGAGCGGTTTTATCGCAGAGGAGAGGCAAACCTTCCCTGCCTTTTTGTTAAACCATCCGTGGAGGCCTGACGGGCAGGCTCCGATGAGTCTTGCTGCAGCACTGCAAGGCATTGTCGGCGCTGGAGCAGGAGGCAAGAGGAGCACATGCTGTGCTCTCCTCCTCTGCCTGCACCAGGAGCTGCTGCCCCATCCTCCTCCTCACCTTCACCTTTGAGCCTCTGCCCTTTGCACTGGCACACATTGGGTTCTGCCACTCCGCTGTGAGAGGGTCACCTCTGACAGAGGACTGGGGCCGGGGAGCCATGACGGTTTTACTTTAAACTGGTGTGACGAGGCTTGCCAAGGCTCGGTGGTGTGGTGGGAGGATCTGGAAGGAAACATGAGTGTGTACTCTTGGGCTCTGCCTCCACCTGCAGAGAAAATCAAATTGTTTTCATAGGAGTGTTGCCTGAAGACTTTGAGCCCCTCTTTTTGCTAACTCTTCACTGTGGCTAATGCCCATTTTAAAAAATAAAAGATGTAAATTTAACATTTCAAAACCTAACTGATATCCAGTATTCTACCCTTAAAAGCTTTTCACGATCAAGATTAGAATCATCAGTCCATCTTGATGGTTTTAATATGTGGTCGAGAAGTTACCCGTCTTACGCTGGCATCGAGTTATGTCATTCCCCATAATTTTTCTCTTGGTTTTTTTTAGCCTTGTTGTTCATAATTTCCTTTCCAAGTGTTTCTTTATTTGAAATGCCATTTATATTTTGTTGCCTTTTTTTTTTTCCAGCACATCTCACATCTTTGTTTTTGTTTTGTTTTTAATCTTATTTCTGGCGTTTTCCATCGCTCTGTGGCCATGATTGTGGATGTGTTTTGGTTTTTGCCTGCCTTGCTGTTCTCTCGCTGCACTCCCTAGATCCCTGTTGCACAGTCCTCTGTCATGGATGACATTGAGGAGTGGCTCAGTACCGACTTGGTGAGACTCTTTATGTTTTCATTTTTCACATGGGCAATAGCACTTGTACGGATAACTTTCAATGCATTGCTGAGTTACTGGGACTTCTCATAATGGGAGGCAGTGAAACTTCCAAATCATATAGCTTATTTCCCTTTGAGGGGAATATCGAAGCAGGAGGAGATAGCATTGTGTTCAGCAATTCAATCAAAACATTTTTTTCTGAGTTGTTTTATTTTCACTTCTCCATGTTAACATCACAGAACAGCATGCGTTACAGAAATCCTGTGTTTCTGGTCTTCGTATAGGAAAGCATTTAAACCTGTGCTGAAGTTTACCTGTGTTGTCCACCAGACTTAGAGCACGTGTTTAAAGCTGCGTTGGCTTTGACAGGATCTAAGTACATTCTTACGCTGAGGCATGCTTTTAAGAGATGCTGGATCAGGGCTTAGACTCCTTTCAAATCGAGATGTCTTTGCTAAATTGGCAAGCAATCTTGACATGTTTCATAGTAGTAACAATAAAGTTATAACAGTCTCTCTTCAATGTTTATAACTTTCAGTTTCTCCTAAATGATTATTGTCTGGTAATTATTAAACAAACAAACAAAAGACAGAGAACTAAAAGTAGCTTTTCCTTCAGTCTGGAGTTTGTTTTGCTGTACCAGTACACATTTGGCTTCAGCAGTGGTACAGCTAGTACACATTTATTCCGATCTCTTTTTTTAATGTAAGCATCTGACTCAAATTAACCAAGTGCATTTTGGGGACGGGTGGTGGGTTGCGTTTCAGACTGTTCTTTTAAACATGGTTTTAGTGAACTGAACTGTTTCCTTGTGGTCACCGTATCCATAAGGACTGTCTCCTTCCATTACTTCTTATGACTTCAGATATTGTCCCTAGTAACTCCCTGCTCCTTAAGGTCTCCCCCAGCCCCTTTTGCCTGCCCAGCTCCTGGCTGGGAGCTGCGGGGTTCAGGCTCCCCAGCTCTGGCAGTAGTGCTGCAGGCACGCTCCGGCACGTCAGCCCTGCACTCCAGCACCAGAGGAGCTGACTATACCGAAAGGAAGAAAATGCTCCTACTCTCCAAAGCCGCCTGAAGTACTTAAACAGATTCTGGGTTTCAGTGTTTGAGTTTGGCAGACTGACTGGCTGTCTTTGAAATGTCACTGCTTTTCAGCTGCAGGTAGTTTTTTCAGGCCACAGTTCAGGCAGTCATTTTCAAATTTAATTACAAACTGGCCTCATTTTGTTAAAGAAATACAGTAAATGTAGCATGTCCGCTCTGCTTAAACAATAAACTTTTGTCTTTGCCATTTAAATTAATTTAGCAGGAGAGAAGATCTTATGGAGAGATATCAAGGTAGCTCTGCACATCTGTTATCCCCTAGATAGTCTTGCTCAAAAAGAGCAAAGCAGAGAGTGCTGTGTAAATGCCTGAGTAAGCCTGGGGATCGCATGCGCTGCAGCTGTTGACTGTACCAGCTTCCCTTCTCCCAGGTACCTGGGTCCCCATGCGACCGTACGTGGGTGCAGCATAGAGATGCCCTCTGACAAAGTTTGGACTGGATTTTTGGTTTTCACTCTGGGTTCCCCCCCTTCCTTTTTTTTTGTTAATGGTTCATATCAGTTTTCTGCTTCCCAGCTGAGGAAGTTAAGGATTAGGTTAGCTAGTCATTATTTATTTCCTTACACTTTTTGGGGTACATTGGAACAAACAGTACCTCTGCATGTGAAGCAGTGGCTGCTGTGTGTACCTTTGGAAAGCTTTATGCAGTAGAAAGCTAGTAGATGTTAGGTTGCTTTTAATGTTCCCGCATTAAAACCTTTGTGAGACCAATTAGTATGTTCCCACTCTCCTGGTAGAGAAGCCAGGTTATGGAAAAATACTTTTCTTTTTCAAAGCAGGTTCAACATGAGGTTTTCAAGTAGTATTTTCGTCCCTCTTTAACATGCTGATAGATTCACAAGGAAGTCACATCCTTGGACTTTTAGTTTTCTTATTAAAGTGCTGTTGGAAAACTCTCATGTTGAAATGCACACAGCTGGTGGAAATGCACTGACCCCCTGGCATCCCAGCCTTTGTATCTCATGGACAGATGCTGACTGCCCATCAGTATCCTTCATCCAGCCTACCCTAGTCTTGTCTTTGTACAGCGCGGACACCAGGAAAGCTGCTATATCTTTTTATGAAATCTAAAATGAACTCCCACAGAAGGAACGTTGGCCCCAAACTGTTTTGTGGCATGTGTCCTTTGTCAGCTAAAAGTGCATTTTATTTGAAGACACAATGCAAACCGCAGTCCTGACTTTTTAAAGGACAGTGTGGCAGAAAATACGGCATCTTGTACAGTGTTTGTGTGACTCATACAGCTCAGTTTTTGACCAGGCCTACTGTCTGAGTGGAAACAGGGCTGGACTGCCATTCAGGTCCAATGGGGAAAGTTTAGCTATCCACCAGCAATCTTCAGAAGCATCTCTAGTGCTCATCCTCTTGCTCTGCAGCACAGTGAAATGTCAGTCACCATTGGACTCCCCATGTAGGAGCCATGCGACTTCCCCAGGTCGCCCTGCTCAAATAGTTAGCATGTGGAAACAAGTGGAGGAAACTGTCCAGTTGCATTAAATGTGTGTAGAAGATGATAGTGAAGGTGAAGCGCTGCCTGTGTGTTCACATGCCCTTTTATTCCAATTGCAGAAAGGAGATGAACTGGAAGAAGGAGTGACCAGTGAAGGTAAGCAGAGATGCCTGTGGCTATGAGCCGTTCTCAGGTTAGTGCACAGACTGAATTATTTGCTTTGATCCCCGCTGAGATGCTGACTTCTCCCAGCCTGATGTTCCCCAGCAAATGCTTCTGCACTCGGAAAGGCAGGAGGAGAGCATTTCAGAGCAAAAAGTTTGTATTTATGGTGTGAGGAGTGTCCCCAGCTGTAAATGCTTTCCTGCCATCTTCCGTGCCTGTACACTGTGTTTGTGCCAGCAGGAATATGTCCCCAAGTTGCTCAGTCCTTTGGAATGATGTTTCCCTGCTTCTGTTGCAGCCAGTGGAGTATTGTGGGTTTGATTCCCTCTGCTGCCTGAGCTAGGGTGTCTCAAAGGACGCCTGTACCCTTTTCTGAGGAAATTGGGCTGTACAAGTATGTGTGCCTGTGAACACAGCCCGACAGAACGCCAGGTGCTGGAATTTCAGACCCTGCTAACCTCTGTCCCTGCGGTTAAACATACAGCTCCAGCTCTTACCTGTCTTCCTTCTTTTTTTTGCATTGCAGAATTTGACAAATTTTTAGAAGAGCGAGCCAAGGCGGCGGAGATGGTTCCCAATCTGCCATCCCCTCCCCTGGAAGCCCCCACCCCTCCGACAAATCCTTCCAGCAGGAAAAAGCAAGAGCGCTCGGAGGATGCCCTCTTTGCACTGTGAAGATTGCTCTTAGCCGCCCTCCCACCCCCGTGCTCCGCAGGCGAATGTTGCTGTATGGCCACTTCGTCCTCTCACACTACTTGGCTAACAATGACCCCCTCCCCCCTGATTTCATAGATTGCTTCTTCTTCTCCCCCTCCCCAAACAATCCACCCCCATGAGCTGACTCTTTCTATTTAAGTCCAACACTATTCCTGCCAGACCACAATTCTCCAGCACTCGCTTAATCCCCTCCTTCCTATCCCAGCTGCACAAAACCAGCTCTTGATGCTGAAAACCCCTTTAGAATGCATGAGTACGTCACACTGTGTTGAAACAAAAGCCCAGAGGGGAGAGAGCAGCCTTGCCCTTCAATTTATGTAGGGATCATCCTCTTCTGTAGGCAGGTCCTGCCAAGTAGACTGCTCTGTCGATCAGCATGTAATTGACTGAGCTGGAATGTTCAGGAGGAGTGTGTCTTTATTTTTAGATAAAATGTTAATGTATTGGCTTTCGTGTTGGATTCGACAGCAAGGAACAACTGTTCCCCTTTCAACATGTGTTTCACAAGTTAAAATCCTTTACTCTCCCACTCACAAATCTCCTGGTACCATATGGTGGTCGCTTTTCCCCACTTTGTGCAGCATTTCATATTCTAAATCTCACAGGGTATTTTTTTCCTTGTGTTTTATCTGGGCTTGCTCTAATTTGAAAGCAGTCTGTTGGCCATGTCCAGTAGCTCTGGCAGTTGACGAGAATGAAAAACGCTGAGCTAAATGGATGCTGTAACGTTAGCGTATGAAGCATTTTGCTCTTTGAGAGAGCATTCTCACATGAGGATTTTTTCTAGTGTGTTTGCCTTTTCAAATAGCTAGGTTATTTTTTCCTTACCTTAGATTCCTTCTTCAGTGACTGTAGAGCTCTGCACTTGTCTCAGCTGTTGTAAATAACATCCATGCAGATGGATGGGACTTGCTCATGGACTGGGTGTGAACTGAGGTTCCTGGATTCTGTGCCATGCCTGGTAGGATAGACATGCTGGTTCTTGGTGGTAGATATGAGAAAAAGAGGCAAATCTCACAGTCTTGTACACAAATGCTGAGGGAGATGGTTACCCGTGGAGGGATTAGCTGTGCCTGCTTGTGCTGGAGATGAAACTCCACATTTCTTTCTAGGTTTAGGCCTGAGAAAGTGTTGGATGATTGTGGCCATGCCATTTGTAATTTTTGAGTGTCCTTTGCTACCTCTGCCCCTTTATTAACTCCCAGCTCCTGCGGGGCTGCAGTCTCCCTCCCGTCTGCACAAACAAGCGCCAAGCATATTCCCTTGCTTGCCAGAGGCATGGCCGAGAGTGCTGCTCTTCCTGGAGCTGCCAGAAGGGATTCCAGCATGTGTGCCTGCCTTGCTGGACTGACAAGCAGAGCTGGAGCAGGCAGCTCCAGCCATCGTTGCATCCCCCAGCATGTTCCTTGGTAGGAGGCCAGTGGTGCAAGATGGCAGGATCAAAGAGCGAGCTGAACACTGTGCGGCAGGGAGAATCTCCTGTCCTGACAGAAGGCAACTTTATCAGATGAACGCCCATGCAGGCAGCAGCGCTCCAGCCCTCTTCCTCGCGGCGCTCATTGTCTTAGGCAACCAGCCACTTTGTTCTGACTTGGCATGTCTGAGCTTCCTGGGATGCTGATGTGTGTCGAGCTCTCAGAAGTTGTTCTAGACCAAGAAGCTGTGCTATAAACAGCTGATGTGAAAGTGATAGAAGCTTTTATCTGAGCATAGTTCTTCCAGCTCGTAACATACTCTCTAGGGTATGCCACACTTTGGTAGGTTGTGACACATAAAACCTTTTACCAAATGGCCCGATTGCAGCACTGATGGTCTTTTGAGAGTGGTCACGTTAATCTTCAGAGGGAAACCTTGTTTGATGCAGGATTTTCAGGCTGTCCCAGGTCAGAAGTCACTCTCTGCTGTCCCCGCTCATCCTCTCCTCTGTCCTGCCCTGCCTGCATCCTCTTCCAGGATCCCTCCGTATGTAGCTGGGCCCAGGCAAGGCTGCCCTGCCACTCTCCCGACACTGACTTGGCACCTCATCCCTGCTCCGTAGCTCACTGCTCCCTGTCAGCTCTGCACTGTGCAGAAGGTAGCATGGCTTGCAAGTGGATGGGGAAGATCAGCGTAAGGATGGAGATAGCTTGGGGGGTCAAGCTGCCTCTTCTCCCCACTTGCTGGCCCTCTCCCCATTTGAAGTCCTTCTGTGCAGGTCTGCAGGGGGTTGCTCTCCATTTCATCTTCTCTGAGGCTAATGGAAAGTGTCAGGACAGTCTGCCTTGGTTGCATGTATGCACTGCTGCTCTCGCCCACTACCCTTGCTGTTTAACACGAGGTGAGCCCAATGCTCAGATCCTAGCTGCCAGACACCCTACTGCCAGCTCCTGCCAGACCCTGCATTGCTGCAACACGTCAGATGTGGCCACCAGCTCCCAGAAACCTGAGGAAACTTCTGTTGTGACACTGATTTGATTTCAGACAGTGTCTGGTGATTGCCTGAGCAGTCTTGCCAGCACAGAATGAATTGTTGGTATTCCTGTCAATGCAAAAAGCTCTGTGGGTGTTTTAAGTGTGTATTTTCTCTGCTAAATCCTTGAAACACATTGACCCTGTAAATGGCCACATCAGGTGATTCTAAGCATGTTAATCCAGCTTCCCTGCCAAGCCGGAGGAGATAATCGCATTGCTCAAGCATGGGGACATTGTCAGATGATGCTGAGTGGCAAGGATATCACCAGCACCGTCACTGAGCCGCCCTACAGAGTCCCATTGTTGCGGATTTGCCGGCCCTTCTTCCCCCACCCCTAAGCAAAAAGTGGGCTGGGGTGGGGGGTGTCGCTGTTAACCCTTATTCTTTCTGTCACGCTAAACCTGTCCTGGGACTTCCAAGTTGTTGCTTTAGAGAGAATCTGATCCCTTTCTGGAAGATCTTGCAGAGCTGTCAGTGACTGCTCCCTCCGACTGGGAAGGAAAAGAGACGAAACAAGAAGGCTGGGGCTGAGGGGAGATGAGCAGCATGTGTTGGCACCACTCAAGGGAGTCTCTTCTGTGCTTGCAACCTCAGGCACTCCATGGTCCCCACTGACGCCCCACGTTATCCGCTGCAAAGCGAGGGCACTGTTTGCAGGGGGTGGTGAGTGCCGTCGGCACAAGCGGTGGCTCTGCTGGAAGTAGGGCAGCGCTCGGGAGATGCCGTCCTTGGGAGGTGTGTGCTCAGCCTGCGGCGAATGGTTAAACATCCTTTTGGTGGGACCCTTGATGGGTCTGGTAAAAGTGCAGCCCCTGTGGTGAGTTGAATTTGGAGCCCGAATCCACCAGACCTGGCTCTCCCAGGCTGAGCACGCAGGGGCTGGAAGCACCAAAGGGGGGAGAGCATGCGGCAGAACTGGCCGTTTAGCCCAAACCTTCTGTAACACGTGTGAGAGCTTCCCTAGAGCTTCCCTCATGTCCTGTATCAGGATCTCTCATCTTCCCTGTCCTCTTGTGGTCTGCAGAAAACCTGAGCGGTGGAAACTGTTTGGGGGGAAGGGAAGGGGAGTTTCACTTCGGAAGACTGATATCTCCCATTTATTCTTCCTTCGCTTTCACTCTAAGTGCTTCCCCTGTGCAAGTGGGCAGAGGACTTGTGTGGATCTGACGCTTGCGAGAAGAGGGATGGAGCTGCAGCCTGATCCGCTTTCCATAAGAACTCACATCCCAACACTTTCTAGACATATTAGGAATCACAGCTTAACGCTCAATGACACTAAATTATTATTGGGGTCCTTTGTAAGTTCTAATCATACCCTATTCTAGGTTAAAATATTTATTTTGTCAATATATTTTCTTTCCAGTGTGTTTTTTAACCTCTTCTGTTAACTCTTCGTATGCTGAGATGTAAGAAATGAATGGTTTCTATTTAAATATATCCTTTCGGGTTTTTTAATTGTTATGTGTAGATTTCAGCTGCATCTTTGGCAGGTGTAATAGATAACAATGTGCTGTACAGACATTTAGGGTGTTTAGTATGTAGGTAAGGCTCATAGGAGAATTGCTCATAAAAACGTAGCATGGTGTCTCTTAAAGGGAAAAGCATAAATGCAGAGATGGGTCCTTACCGGGACCCTCACGTAGCCTCCAACATACCTTTCCCCTTCCAGCTATCACAGCCTCCGTCTCTGAAATGGGATCAGATCAGCTCTGCTATTTCCAGGGCTGTTTTTACACCTCCAAGCTGAAGAAGGATTTTAGTGGGGGGTTCTGTTCGTTTGACTTTACTCAGGGGTTTTGTTTTTTTTTTTAATGGGATACATTGGCTGTTTCCACTTTTAAATGGAGGACTCTGCAGAGCTGGCTGTGGTGGCGAGATGTTTCCCTCCAGTGGTGGAAGAACAGATCCGGGCAGTGGTTTCAGACCCAGGGCAGGGGCGATGGTCCCCCTCCGTAAGCTGCCACGGGAGTTGGGCCCACACTCCCCCAGCACGCTGGCCAACGCAGCCTGTTCCTGTTCCTCTCTATTTAATGCTCTCCTGACCAGGAGAGCAAACACAGGAGCATTTTCAGCAGTCTTGTTCATCCGATGAGTTGTCAGATCTCTTGCAGCTGCTGGGAATCCTGTGGAGTGGAACTGCTTGTGCTATCTCCATCCCCAGGCCAGCCTCATCCAGCTCAGTCATTGTTTACCTCCTGAACGCTAACCGCAAGGCTTGCGGAGCCTACCCTGGAAAAAAAAAAACAGCTCAGGACAGTTATTTTTATGGAAATAATGAAGCAGGCAATCAGTGAGTGGATTTATAGCCTTCTTGGAGGTAACCCTTTGGCTGCTGGGGGCACCCACCCACCCTTGCCCACCAGCAGAGGAGAGGAGGCAGGAATCTCCTTGCCAGGCGCCCAGAGGCGTTGCTGGTGCCCATGCAGCACCTTCCACTCGCCCCTTCCAAGCCCCAGCCTCGGGAGCAGGCTGCACCCGCCTGCTGCATCCCCAGGCTGCCAGCCCCAGGCTCCCCAGCCCTGCCCCAGGCACCGATGGCAGATTGCTCCTCCATCCTGGAGAGAGGCGAGGTTGCGTTTCGCCGAGAGCTGGCTGGCTTTCGAGTGGCGCCG